GGGGCTTCTCTCTGCAACACAGGCCACAGGGGAGGGGCTTCCCTCTGCAACACAGGCCACAGGGGAGGGGCTTCCCTCTGCAACACAGGCCACAGGGGAGGGGCTTCCCTCTGGGGGGACTTCCCTCTGCAATCCTGGCTACAGGGGAGGGGCTTCTCTCTGCAACACTGGCTGCAGGGGAGGGGCTTCTCTCTGCATTCCTGGCCTAGCTTGGACATCACAATGAATTTAATAGATCTGACAGATTTCTCCTGGAAATATTTTCCTCAGATCTAAGGTCTTGAATCTCTCAAAACATCCTAAGGAAATGTTATTTCCACATGTATCTTTAAAAAATGTCTTTAGATATTTCAGCAGAAGTTAAAACTCACGCTGGTTGACTGCATTCGTTAACATTGCATCGTTTTCTGATTGGTTTGGGTTTCTTGCTTGTTTCGCAGAAGTTCCGATGCACCATCCTGCTGTCACTTTTTCTTCTGCATCCATATTTTGTGTACTGTATTCCTAGAAAATTAAACATCAGAGTCTTCAAACATCTCTCTCTTCAGTGTCTTCTTACTGTTCTAAGGACATTTTATAAGATCATCTTATTATGTAAAGAGACTCAAATCATTTTCGACAGTGGTTTTGCAAACACAAATTGACAAGTAGATTAGTATGTAGAAGTGCTCACTATACATTTTTCCAGTAAGCAAGTCAAAAAGACATGGCCACATGCGTGACCCTTAGTTGAACTTCTGATTACATATTTTATCTTTGCTTTTGAAATTTACCTTGACATGCAGCGGGTTATATTTGACATGGCATTCCATTCACAAAGTGCGTATTTGGAAGTCAGCTTGGTTATTAAATCAACTACATTATTAAAATTGTACCACAAAGCAATGAAATTGGGCACATATATTGTACAAATAGGACCATATCAGGAACATCTTCCCAAGGACATTGACAGTACAAACCAGAAGGCATGAACATAGATGGTAGCTGGTATTGAGAATGAAAAACAGGGCACCTAATTACATTTTAAAAAATGAGGTGGCATATTTCAAATTGGGGGGCTTTTTCTATAACTGTAGGTGCTTCCTTATGGCAGAACTACCACTGTCACAGATGCATAAGACACATGGCCAGACTGAGCACATACAGTGCCTCTCTTATGTTTACTGTTTCTGTCAATGAGTGTGAGTTTTCCCAAGTCTCATTTGTATGTGTGAGACTATTGCGCCAGGGTGTAGTTTTCTTGATATAGTTTGAACACACAAACAAAACTTATAAGCCCCTCTATTTTCCAGTGAAAACAACTGACCAGAATTTTCAGCAATTTGCTTGTGGAGATTGAATCCACATTTCTTGAAGATTCCACAAACCCACCTCCCCCACAGGGTTTGGAGCACTGTGACCAGCTCTTTAAGGCCCATTCATAAGTGTCGAGCTCAGCTAACAAGACGTTATTATTGCCGATCACTGGTAGCAGGTCTTCGTGAATGATGTACTTGTACGTCAGGCTGATCTTGGAGTCGTCTTCTTGAGGAATAACCTAGTAGGCAGACAAAATTCAAGCTTCAGCACCTAAGAATAGTAAAGTAATATCAAATGCTGGTGATCACACAACATACAGTCTCTAATAAAAGTACAAAAATGGAACCCCTTTCCCATTCCCCAATTGAAATGCAGGTTCCTACCAGGATGACAATGCCTTCATGCAGGGGGCCAGTTGTTTTCAGGGATTCTTTCCCTTCTCCAAAGGTATATTCCCACTCCAAACCGCTGTCGATGAACGTTTTGGATTTGGCATCTTCACTTTTTGCATTTAGTATGAAGTTGCCTGTTATTTGGTTTTTAACAGCTGTTACACAAGAGAAAGAGAGAAAAAAAAATAGTTACCCTTTAGACCACATCTCAACAGAAGACTAAATATTTTCTAATTCTTAAATGGCATATAAAGGAAGAGCTTGCACATCAATGCTTCTGCTAATATTCCTAATGAAATCTTACTTGGCATGTAATTTCAATTAGGAGGCTGTTAATGTACTGAGGGTCTCTAATGTCCTACAAGATTCCACTTCCAGGGAATTAAAAGCTGGACATGAGAAACCTAGCAAAAAAGCAAGGAAAAAATAATGCTCTTCGCTGAGCACAAAGATCAAAAAGATTTTTTAAAACAAGGTCTTTTTAAAACAAGAACATTTCTACTTGTTCTCAATGCTAAGAACACAAAACAATAGACACCTATTTGTTTTTCTTTAAGAAAAAGAAAAACATTTCTCACCAGTCTTGTACATTATGAGAACTAGAGCATATAACTTTGGAATTTATCACATTAAAGTGGCTTCTGATATATTTCCCGGGATCAGTACTTATAACAGTGATAATGATTATTATTACTACTTTTATGTCTTAAACATTTATTTTTATGTGAAAGTTTCCTTCCAGTCTAAGTTTGCCTGAGCCACACAGTTCCCTTCATCAATAATCCTGAAGGCTCCTTCTCATCTTCCTTTGAATTAATAGCTTTCTCAGAAAGACCTATTTAGGAGTGCTTGGCGCAGTGCCACAGACCCTCTGAGTTAGAGATCTACACAGAGAGGTATTGTGTGTTCTTAATGAAGAGTCACAAAAACTCGCCTATACCTGACAGAGCTCAAGGGGCTCCTACAGAGCTCTCAGAGACAGACACAAGCAACATATCAAATAACATCAGGATACATCAATGTTTACACTTTATTAGCAGCTTAGAGCCCTCTTTTTATGTTGCTGTAACATTCACGTTTATACGGTTAGTTGTACTGTTGTCTACTCTAAACTTCACTTTAAAAATAAAAAGTAAAAATACTTCTAGTATTATTACTATATTTAAGAAGTGAGAATAACAGATGCGGAACAAGACAGAATAGTAATGAGGCATTTAGTGCCGCTACACCATAGCACTTGGCTTACAGTTTGATTACAGTTTGGGACTCCTTGTGTGTGGAGTTTGCATGTTCTCCTCGTGGCCATGTGGGTTTCCTTTGGATGCTCTGGTTGCCTCACAGAGTTGGAAAACACGCTGGCTAGGTTACATGGCACCTCTGAATTGCCCACTCCCCAACCCCTTTGCATTTGTGAGTGGATGCATGTGAGTGTGTGTGCCCTGCAGGGTGTGGTCCATTCTTGTGCCCTGTAACTGCTGGGAGTGCAGTCCTGGATAAGCCAGTTACCAAAAGCAAATTAAGTGAAATTAGATTATCACCTTTATAAATAATTTGATCAAGATTTTAAGGTTTGTTTCACTGCCAAGAAGAAAAGTGGATGCTTTGTAAAGTGTGATCACTTCAATACAAGTAGAATTTCACAAATTTAGCAAAGAAGAGTCCACTAGCTATTTCACCTTTATAGACACACCTGCAAAATCAATACCTAATTACTTATAACTCTTTTGATGTGAAGTACTAATGCTTAACAATAGAAGAAGCTGTGTGGGTGAAGTTTCTAGGTCATGACAGTAATTTCAATTGAGATAAATGTCTCTGAAGCTTTTATATAACCTGGACAAGGTTGATATTTGAACAGGAACTGAAGGAATACTTCACTTTCACTTTGGAAATACTTTTAATGAAGTTTGAAGGTGGACTGACGTAAATCAAATCTTTTTCAAGCACTCTTCTGCATAGATGGTACAGAATAATGTGTGCATATTAGTTCTGGTAATGCAGTGTACTTACCAATGACATGGGGAGAGGTTTCATTTTCCTCTATTAAAATGTGCCTTGCCCCAGCAGGGATATCAAACATCTTCAGCATTCCTAATTAAATTAAGAAATGAAAGGAATTAATTCAGCATAGGAAACACTGTTATGTCCTACTAATGTCAAGCAATTCTGTACAGAACTACCCAGTAGACCCAGGGATGCTGCACAGCTGATGATAAATGGCTGCACATAATATAAACTGCTGTCATTCTACATGATCCTCTTCATACTCTCCAATTTTAGTCACAATACATCTTCACCTCTCCCCACATAAGGAAGAAGATAAATATCTTAGGGGGTTAATTTCTGGTATTTTATACTTTATAAAATCTTCTACTTGAGTGAAGTGAAACAAACTGACATTGCCTACAGTAAAGCTGAAAATCGCCTTCAGTACAGCTGGTGTCCTGCAGTGCAGTTCTTCCTTCCAATTAAAATCTAGAATTAACTACTCATTCATTCTGGACTCCTCCTTGCTATTAGGACAGTGGAAAGTGCTTAGGTGTGTCATTTTCAAAAATGGTAATACTGTTTCATACCCAGCTTCTTGGGGGTCTTGGTTAGTGTTAATTTGACAGTCCGGCAGTGAGAATTGTCCCCACTGCATACTCCACACTTATCCTCTTGTTTGTAAGATCCAACCTCTTTATCGCATCCCACGTGCTGGAAAAAGAAGGGAAAGTCAAGAGGCATGTTGCCCAGTGCCCAGCAAACACAAAATAAGACAAGACAAAAATGATAAAAGAACATTATGCCAGAAACAAGAAGGTATTTTACTCTGAAATAGTCTTGCAGACTTAGTGGATAACACACATCTAAACACTCCCCTCAGAATAAACTATTCCTGGTTTAGACATTGTATTATTCTCATTTTCTTTCAGCATGCAACATTAATTCTAAAAAAGGTAACTGAGAGCAGAAAAAAAAGGCCCAGTGAGCAAAGAATTAAAATCTGCCATGATGTGACACAATATCAAAACTGGAACCAAAATAATCAAAAAACAGAAATGTTAAGCAGGAATGATAGCAGCTCATCATAGTTCTGAAACACACGCCTGATATTAAGGGCAGGAAATGAAAATGAGATGAGATTCCTTACCAGGCATTCTCCACGGGCACAGACACTAAAAGAGTCTTTGTAACTGCAGCGTGTCCCATCATGCATCACCTGGTTCATGAAAACCACTTCACCTGTTTCCTTCGACTGGCAGATCAGCTCACACTTATGGGCCTCTGCAACACAGCAAAAGAAGGTATGAAGGTATCGCTTATAGAGGCAGAGTTAAAAACAAATTCTAGCTTAGGCACACTATTGTTATCCTTATAATTCATGATCTTTCCCAGATTTCTTTGACTATTTCTTCCTAGTTCAACATTTTTACAAGATGTTTTAGAAAAGTTAATGACTCAAAAGTCTCACCATCTGGATGTTCATACGGCAGCCATGTATGTTTGACGTTTTTGTGATATTTGTTGCTTCGCTGAATGCATTGCTGTGCACGGAAATCTTCATAAGGGCCAGCACACTCTTCTGTATTACATATCTGATACTCAAAGGCTGATCCGGGGCAGTCTCGTCCGCCATACGCAGGTCTGGAGAAAACAATCAGGTAAAATGATTAATAGAATGTATTTAAGTACCTGTGGTTTGTAAGGATTTATATTTCTTTTAACACCCCTGAGGCAACTGGCTTCTGTAATGGAAGAGGTCAGCATTGTTGTTTACTTCTCGGGACACCTCCTTGTTTTCACCCATTCCATCTCTTTTCAACAAACACTTAGTCTAATACAGGGTCACAGTGAGTCAGATCCCAGTAGACACTTGAATTCATATGGCGTGCCCTCTCTGTAAAATGTTCGAGCAGGGAGCTGCGTCAGCACACGTAGGCTATAAAGGAGCAGGTAAAGATTCATTCCACGCTTAAAGGTAAAGAAGAAACAAAACAGCATTGCTTTTCTTTACCTTTCAGCATGGAATGAACCTTCACCCGTTGGTTTCTGTAAACTTAAGTGGCTCAGTGACACACCGAGACATGGGTAATCTGGTGTTTAATATTTCATATACAGGCGGCCTTGAGACATCATGGCTTTAGGGGAGACAGAAAAATTCAGAAGAAACACTGAGCTACATGAGCACACTTTAATTGCCACAGCCTCCTCTCCCATACGGGGACTTACGGTGGGTTGTTGCACTGCCTGCTGCGGGAACGCACTCCGCCTCCGCAAGACCTGGAGCAGGAGCCAAATTTGTTCCAGGAGCCCCAGCTTCCGTCGTGACTATAGGGCTGCTGGGCAGACCTCCAGATGCAGTGGCCCTTAAAGCACCACTAGACACAGGCACAGATTTCACATCACATAGGGAAATAGAAAAACACATACTTACATCACTGTCTATAGCAAATGTTGCAATAAAGCAAAGCCTGGTTTGATTTCTTTTTTAACATGGCTACATTTCGGCAGGTTCTGGAAAACCATTCAATCAGTCCATGGTTTGGGTTCTGAAGATACAGTGGTTTCCTTGCAGTTATACTCTGTGTTCACTAAACAGGTTGTTCTAAATGTTCCACATTTGCTTGCACCCATAGAACAATAAGCTTTAAAACCTCCACTCCCTCACACAGACTTCCTTTGATTGTTCTCCTACATTTCTTTAATTCCATTTTGCTAAGTGTTTATCTCCTGCAATGCTTGGACTATGTAAAGGTGTAGTACAAGATTATTATAATACTTGTATCTTTCTGTCTACAGAGGACATTAGTACATTTATTACAGATGAGTAACAGTCAACTATAAAGCTATTAATCATTAGAAGTAACTGATACGAATGACTATTGAAACAATGATTACACTCACCTTTCCTGGAGCACATTCTGTCCCATCTACTGGTGGTCCCTTCTTAGTTTTACAGAAATATTGATTATCTGGGTGGCTGCACCACAGCTGTTTACAGGGGTCGTATGTTCGAAACTAAAACAAAAACCATATCATGGTGTCAGAAAATACTGTATATTCTTTACTTTGGAAAGGAATGTCTGATATCTAGCTCCTCTTGAGCAATCACACAAAGAATGTGCTATATCCTGGCCCTCTTGAGCAATCACATATCAACTGGGAAAATTCCAGTACCTTGTGCTTTCTGGTTGTTACAACTGATACAAAAATACAAAAGTAATCACAGCATCTTCACCGCAAAAATGGTTAATAGGAACTTGTCATTAATGTCAGCTTGACCGCATTCCCTAAAGACAGTTGTGATCTGTGCAACATTGTCTATGAGCTTAAACGCATTTATGCATGTGCAGTTTCATAACATGTGACTCAGGTTGGAGGGTAAAAAGGTGTCAGAGCCTCCCTTTTCAATCCCAGGTAATGAAGTGTGAGCCTAGCCCTCTCCCTCTGTAGGACCACCCAGGGCTCGATATTGCGCTCAACAGCCCCCTTGAAACAATACTTGCCATGATTTACTCTAAACAGTCAGAGTGGGAGTTAGAGTGGGGAACTGTGTTAGCATGCAAGCAGAGGTTAGTTCCACACTGAAGAGCAAAGAGAAAAAAGCTAAAAACACAATGTTTCAGCTGTGGAGCACACAGGAGTGTGGGAGAAGGAGGGGGGCAGCCACTATATGAGGTAAAGAGGAGGTCTGGAAGGCAATCTGTACTCAGTATTAGAAAGACATCAGCTGATCGTGGTGTGCTGGAGGAAGGAGTAAACCCATCTTACTGGTGCAGGGGTCTTTGAATCTTTGCGATAGGACACAGACACAATGGTCAATGTAATTAAGGCTGGGAGAGGTGAAATGGGGAGATCTGTGAACCTCACAGCTCTAACATGTCCTCAGAACAGTTTGGACAGTCTTTTTTCCTAATGATGTATATTGTATGAATTTCCTTTAAAACAGCATTTAGTTATTTAGAAAGACAGAAAAGTTGACACCAGTGTTGTTTTAGAACGGTACTTACAGCAGTGCACATTTTGTATCCCACTCCAAAATCAAAGCGACACTGTTCATCCATAGAGTAGTTGATCCCAGGAAGCTCCGGGAGTTTGGGCCATTTGTGCTCAAAGGGATCATCAAGTAGACAGTCATAAGAGCTGGAAACAAAACGCAAAACTGAGTACACAACATCACACTCTATAGCCTGAGATCATCTAGACCCTCCTTCCCAAACAGGCCGATGTTTTGTTCCTTATCCGACAGCAGATGCAAAATACAAGGCTATAAAAGGATTAGAAGTTAAGATGGCTGTAAAACAGGCTGATCAATAAAATCTTTCGAAGACTCGAATGCACCATTAAGAGAGGATGAGAGGATGGGACGTACTGTATGTATCTGTTGAGCTCCTGCTTGCTGCAGCGAGACCAGTGGTAGCGGTGAAAGGCAGCCTGCACCAGAGGAGCCATGATGCTCCCCATGCTGGTCTCATCAGCACAGCGATTCCCCTGGCCATCGTGTTCCATACCTAACCTGTTAAAATTGCACGTTAGTGTCTCAAGAAAGCAGCAGCAACATTAATGGTGGAGTTATTCTCCACCGCTGAAAAGTCCATCTAGTGAATACCAAGCAATACAAAATGTAGGAAACAAATCTGTAAACCTTCACAAAATACTACAGTTATAGTGCCAAAGGTAATGGCAATTGAAAGGGAATCTCTTGTTTTAGTTTTAATGTTGAATCAATATTGGTTGTTTTTTTACCTTGAAGAGGGAAATTTATATTTAAAACATTGAATGAGGCAAAAAGTTCACTTAAGCATGAATTCGTTTCAAGAAATTAAAGGAGTAAAATAAGAGATGTTTGCTTACATATAGTGCTTACATATATTCTATATTTTATATATTTAACCAATTAAAGGACAAGCAATGGATACTGTGTTCATACAGTACTGTACGTGATTGTGAGATTGCTAAATAGATCAAAGACAGTCTACTCCTACACTGCTAAAATAATTAAATAATAATCACATCCTGCTATGAACACTGGAAACAAGTGATTCTTGAAAAGGCAAGTAAAGTTCAATGTGCTTTGCAATTATCTTAAGGGAAGTAATAACACAAATAGTGCAACCTAAAAAGTTGCTGGAGCTGAAAAGCAGAGTAAGGTCAGTTCAGTTCATGCTTGAAAGTCCCAGGCTGGTCAACCTAGACAGCACTATTGAGCTAAAGCAGTGATCAGAGTTCTGATGTGAAAACCCACTAGCATTCTGGGCTTCCTGAAACACAGGAGCTATTATCAGTCAGTGCATTAATTTCATAGCAAGTTGATTCTGTCATTTAAAATGCTTGCAATTCCAGTTCAAAATTATTTTAATTATTTTCTTCTATTCTGAACGTTATCCCTTAAAACACAAACATAAAAGGAAACGCTCGCTTTAGTACCTCAAAATAATGAAAAACTAAATGCAAGAATTTTATTTAACAACTCTTTATTTAGAGGTAAAATCAGACCTGGGTAAAATGTACAAAAAACGAAAACATAATGAGCACTGTATTATCCTCAACTAAACTAGATCCCCATTATCTACAATCAGGATTAAGAAAAGAGCTCAGAGCTACTCAAGCTGTTTATATTTCTAGCTTTCAATCATAGATTTGTTTTCTAGAGAACAACATAGCACTCTTGAGTTCTTTTAGCACAAAGATTTTCCGAAATTTCTGAATTTCTTTTGTAATAATGAATGAATCATGTATATAATGTACAATGACTGTATGTATTCTCCAAATCAATCTGATGAGGTCAAATGATTTTAATTAATGTAGGCAAACTAACATTATTTTTGCTCTCGACATTTTTAATGTAGGAAATTAATCATACAAATGACCAGCTTAATTGAACCTGTAAAAATGAATTCTGCATAATTCCATAAGAGCCCAACATGCTTAGTAGGCGCTGAAAAATGTCCAAATATTACTTAACTTTTTTATTTACGGTACCATATCAGGAACAGAGTAAGTGAAAGAGAGGATCCAGGTTACTTAAACAAGCTGATTTTCCCCAGTCACAGGATACATTCTTCAGTTCATTTGCTGCCTCATAAAAATGTGAGACACTGCAGATCACTGGCAATTAAAGGTGCCTAAAGCGCCACCCTGCACTTACACATGGCCGGTCTCATGAGCCACCACAAAGGCAGAGGAGAAGCCGTCTTCATGATTCAGTGTGCAGCTTCTCAGAGGGTGGCACATCCCCGTAACCGGAGCATAACCTGGGATGGACAGAGACATTGCTGGTAAACTGGAAAGCAATAAGCAATACCCCTTCATGGGGCATTGAAGGCCCAACCCTGATGCTGCTCTGAAGAAGCAGATTTAAAATGTAAGAAATGTGGCACAGTGTTTTAATATTCTTAAGAGTAATAAAAATATTGCAATAATAAAGGAGATTATGTGGAAGGCACAGCATAGTGAGGTCCCAGTGTTCTGATTCTCAGTGTTTCTAGCACACAGAAATATCACAGCAACCTGAAGCTCCTAAAAAATCTGCTTCGTGTTTTTATTACTTTGTTGTAATTGAAGAGAAAGGTAACCTGCTGGTATGCAGATATATCATTGCAATTGTGATAAAAAGGTTTTTCAATTGGCAGCAGGCAATCAGTGAAAAATACTGTTTTGAATGTTAATATACTTGGATTACATTGAGTCTTTCATCCATCTACGGAAATGATCCTGGGGATACAGCAAATGAAGAGTATGATTATATGAAGCTTAAAATACAAGGTTATTATGTAACAAGAAGTCAGTTACATAATGTCAAAAAAATTAGACAACAGGAAGGAAGCAGTTATGTGAGACAATAACATAATTATAATACCAAACAAATCTACCTCTAGAAATAATAGGAATCAATTGTCTGTTCTTGGTTTTAACCTTGTTGGTTTAATCAGAGGCTTCTACAGTATGTGCAAAAATGGTCTGGGACAAAAAGGCATGAGTACAGTCCACAGCAGAGAGCAAAATGATTATAAAGTACCCTTCAGCGAAAGCTCTCCCAAAGCAAAGCACAGACTGAAAAATAAACTCAAAGTGTTCAATACTCGATCAAGTTGTGTGCAGTGATTTAGCATACTGTGGTTCAGAAGCACTTTTCTATATTTTTTGACAATGCTTTCTGACCTTTTGAAGAACTTTGGCATGCAGGTAAAAAAGCAGGAATATCTAAATGCAAACAGCACAGGCGGTATTAGTCAGGAACGCAAGGCAAGCATCATTCAGATACTGAAATTTCTTACTCCTGTCAGCAATAATACATTCACCACCAAGAGAACACTCTGATGTCAGCCTTTTTTTTATTTTCAAAAATGATCTTGGTCAAGGCTGAAGAGAATGGCAAGGATTACTAAGAGCATAAGTGGCATGGGACATATATGTGCAAAGCAGATGAGCTGGCATGAAATGGCACAGCAGGAAGACAGAAAAATATTGCAGCAAATGTATACAGCATTTCTACATTTCTATGAAGAAGCCAATGAAAGCATTAATAAATAATATATAGATTTTGTTACTTTATAAACACGTTGACGAATCTTGAATAATTATGTACTGAAAATTTTGAAGAATTTTTAAATGCATAGTCTAAATGTACAATGCCCTAGCAAATAAGGATGATTAAATGATATTTTTATCCTCACTATGGCACTAAAAAGATTTGTGACATACTATTTTACACTGTCATTTCAAGAACACATTTTTAACCGTATTTTTCCAACAAATTCACAACACCCCAGAGGAAAAAATACATAATGAACCTCATGAGAAAAACTTTACTATAGTGAAAAACTGCAGCCTGCTTCTTTGAATCGTGTCTGAAATGAACACACCTCCCAGTGCCATGAGAATGCGATCAGGGCGGCTGTCCGTACCATCTGCCCACACTTAATGGGCAGGATATGCAAGTTTTGTCTTCAGTCAGATCTGTCAGTGGGCTTTCACCTTTGTGTATTGAAGTGTATTGAAGTGCTCCTCACACAAACCAGCCTGTATGCAAATTACCCTGCAATCTGCATGAAACTCAGAACTGTCTGATTCTGAATCCAAGCCAGGATTTGACCACTAGCCAGATTCCCGTCTGCTTTCTGTTTGCTGCATGGCTGAATTTGGCGTATACAGCAATCTCTCTGATCTGTCTGGCTGTGCAGCCTTTCCTCTGCTCTGCCCGTCTGCCCAACACACCCCTCGTTCTGCCTGTCTGCCCAGCGTATCTCCTGCTCTGCATGTCTGCTTTCTGCCACACGGAACTAGTGATTGGATTCCTCCTCCTGCCTCATAGCTGCATTCCCCAGGTCAACAGCATACTGTAACACACAGAATATTGGCTTAAGCATTATTATGACTCAATTATGGTGTAAAATGTATTTTTATGTGTTGCACGCCTAAGAAATCCTAAAGATTAATGGATCCCATGCTCAATATTTTTTTAAATCCTCCACAATATCTTTAGACACATTATAAAAGGTTACAACACATGCAAAGAGAAATTTCTCTGTGTACTGTGAAGTACAGTACATCAACATTGCTGAGCTTACAAAGTATTTTTCCCATTAAGACTCTAAAAGCACATTCAAATATGTTCTCTATGCTATGTTAGATTGTGCTTGTGAAAAAAACATCTGTAGGTACGTCTCTAAAAATGTTTTCACTCCATCTACGAAACTTAAAAATATAATACACTATCTTTGGATAAATCCTCTTGCACGTTAGTGTAATGTTTGCCTTCCTTCCTGAAAGAGTGCTCCATTGGAATAGAGGGCAAAGCCCAACCAAGCCTCACTGTCCTAGAGACTAGGCTGTTATGAACAAAATACAGCTGAAACTATGGCAACACCAAGTAAGACAACAACAAAGCCATTGGAGTCTTTCAGACTCTGAGAGCGTGCAAGAAGAACAAAGCGTGAATTAAACCTAAGACTTTAAACTTAGAAACAAATATTACTTAAGCTGCTGTGCTAAAATTTAATTACAATGTTTTCTCTCCCTGGGATGATGTAATTTAGCAATTATGCTGCATTAAAATATTCAGGTTATGACAAGTACATTTTAGAATTCAGAAAAAATGGCTATAGTAATTGTATAATAACGTACTACACAAACCTTCTTGCATGCTACCTGCTTGTGAACTAATGTGTGTTGCTTCTGTTTTTTGAATTTCTCAACATGCCATATCATTTACACCACAATTTCAAAGACCCTGTCTGATGTTTTAGCTATACTGACAAACAGCATTGAATTCCTGGCTAATTTAAAGACTTTGCTTCCTCTTGTGAGGCAAATTACACTCTCTCTCTACTCTGTTAACTCTACTTACCACATATTCATCTACTTCCACATAAATGTCCCACATAGCATTTTGCTAATAAAAAATGATTATGTGAAATTAAAAATAAGTCTCTGCTGAGCTATGAATAGTAGGCAGTAAATGTCTTATACTACTGTGTATTCTTTGAATCAATCATGCAAGAAGTCAGACACAGGGTTACAAAAACAAAAATGCCACCAAAGAGACACGGTATTTAAGTGAATTGGTAAAATAATAATAATTCAATGCAAGTGGGCTGTACAAATTCAAGGTTTAGAGATTAGAGTCAATATATACATACAAGACATCCTGTTACACTGATGTTATACAGAGGAAGGAGTTTAGCTAATTCAGGGAACAAAACACAAAGAAGAGTACAAAAATGTTTTCATCAACATAGGATGGATACCCAAAAGACACAAAGGGGAAAACACAGTCAAGGCCGACATACAGTACATCTGCTTAATGCAATTCTCAGATGTACAGTACCACATGAATGTTATGTTAGGACCAATCATACATTTCCTTTTTCCTCTACATGCCAAACCTTCTTTTCATTTTCAAAACAAGTGGACAGTTTTCTAGTGGTTGGCACCAATGCCCAGTCGGCAAAGTGCTGGAAAAATACTATAACTCTCGAATGAGGGCCACTTTCGGCTAAAAACTGGATGACTTGACATGTGGCATCCCGTAAGTTTCCAGAAACCTTACCTGAGCAAGACTTGAAGCCAACCCTTGTGAAGAGAAGCAGATATTCATCATCATTCAGTCTGCACAGGCCTCGATCGAGAGAAATACAGTACCTTGCATACCTGCGGGACCAAAGTCTTGCCTTGTCAGAAAGATGGCATGGTCGTGGTATTCTGCATGGTCTGGGTCTCGGCGCTGCTGGGCGTTAGCCCATCGACAGACTTGCTCCAGACTCCGAGAAGGGTTCCCTTGCTCGATCAGACCGATGGACTGCCGGGAACAAACAAACAATACCTTTCATGAAAAAGCACTGTAGGTAGCTGTGTCAGCGTGCAAGAGCTGTAAACAAACAGGTAAAGGTTTATTCCATGTTGAAAGGAAAAGAAAGAAGACACAACGTTTTGGCTGTGGAGTCTTCTTCAGGTGGGACACCATCAAAATCAGGTGTGAATTCAGCATTCCCAGTACATAACTCTACAGGGCCCACCCATATCTCCTTAAAAGTACATAAAGTACTGTAGACTTGCATTTTACGTGAAATACTTTTATGCAAATTTGTGTATACACAGTCAGCGCCAAAACAATAAATAAAAAATCAAATAATTCACATTCAAATCTGGGGCAGCACACACCTGAGCTATTTCGTATACAGTACTGTATTTGCTATATTACCGTTTTCGTTATACTTTAAACTGCAAACATACATATACTATACTAAAACACTTATGATTGATTTATCTTGTTTAAGGGAGGGGAATAGGAGGGTCTAAGGGTGGTTTACTGATTAAACATGATTTAAGTGATATGTCAGGAGTGGAGCTCTGGTAACAGGCTGACCAGAGCGTGATGCTGACCAAATCAACTCCACCTCCGGTGTCAGATGGTCAAGCAAAATGGTGGCACTTGCCCCCATTCCCCCATGGGCCTTATGGCCTGAAAAGGGACTTACTATGTAAGGAACCTAACTACAACATTAAATTGGAGATTCATCAAGTTGATAAACATCAAGTTGAATGAAAAATCAGAAGGTCCAAATCAGAAGGGATTTCAGTAGTGCACACTTTGGAAATGGTGCTCTTGAAGTGGCCATTTGCATTTTTGCAATGCAATTTATTTGTAAGTAAACGCTAGGGATTTGTGGTGTGCTCAGTGAACTGGGGAAAGCCACTGGGATGTGAATGTGTTCCCATGAGACTCCTTACATGAGAGAACTCATAAAAGAAAGAAGAAGACATTGTATTTATTTCATAATTATTAACTAAAAGCTTAATTAAGAACAGAGCCACATGTATCAATGTTTTATGTATATATGAGTTTTCACATAAGGCGTTTTGAAGTTCTGAAGAATGTGTGAAGACCCTGTCAGGTCAGTGTGAGCTCAGCCATTATGAAACACATGCGTGTTCCTTTCCTCTTCCACATCTCACCCCCCTGACAGACCCATTCATCACCACATACCATCACCCACCAAATGCGAGATCAGTATGGAACACAGCTGTCAATTGCTATGGACTGAGAAGCTATTCACATTTATATTTAGCATTTGATGACACCATTTGATGTTGCTGGGGTAGCTTGGACAGTCTGAAGATCAAACATTTTTTTTTTAATACTGTACACCACATGAAGACAGATTCTAGCTATACTGCCTCAGTTCTAGAAGATGCAGTCAAAATGCACAGCTGGAAGTTTTCCATTGTCTTTACGTCATGTTCACTTCAATTCAAAGCAGCTTTGTTAGGGGCACAGCCGGACCTCGTTAATTACCAATTAACATTCCGCACATGACCCTCTATTTAAACCCTCATCAACCCGCACTTCACTGCTCAGTATTGAACAGCCTGTTGTTTTCCTGAGCGCCCCTTCTTCCTGAAGACCATCAGTGAATAAGCCCTTCTCCTGCTCAGGATCCTGGCACTGCTTGCCTCACCGACTTCGCCTTCGGATTTGTTCGCTCTCGTCCACGGAACCGACCTGCACAGGGTTCTTCCTGGCGCTCCGTAACAAGCTTAACCTTGCTGAAATACTAGGAAAAGTGATTTTCTACTGTAAGGCTTTAATTTAAAGGGGGGGGGGGGACAATCCTATTTATTGTTCCATCACCAGTGACGCCTGTGACATTAAACATAATCTTTCATGTCAAAACATTATTTTTCCATTCGAGTTTAGAAATTCATTTCTGAGGAACTCAGAAATCCATTACTAATGTTTAGGAAGCTAAACTGACATTATGAAAAGTGCTTGCTGGAGTCAAAGTGTATGTTGTATTACAAGAGTGTCTCTTTTTCAGAAATCCCACAACTGAAATGAGTTGGATGGCTCATTTTTAATAACAAGGTAGAATAACTCATGCATGTCACAAAACAAATAAATACAAAATCATAAACTGAAATGTGTTGTTGGATAAAATGTTGTAAGAAAATTGTACTAATAAGATCTTAAAATATTATGTTCAATTTTGCTTTCAATGTTCTAGGAAAGCTACAGTATTGCTGCTCGTGAGTCAGTCCAGAAAAAAGGCCTAATTAAATGTCCTATACTGAAAAGGTAAAGAACTGGACATGTTAAGTATTGAACAGAGAAGACTATGAGGAGACTTGATCCATTTTTCAAGGTCAATCTAGCAGACTGTCTGAATGAACGGTGAAAAATGAACCAGAGGACACAAGTGTAATCTGCTATATTTGAAACAACGAACAAGAGCCACTTTTTTATAAAAGAGTTACAGGATTATGGAACAAGCTACCCAGCCATGCTGTTGAGGCCAAAAGCCTGTTTAATTTCAAGAAACAGTTGGATGAGTTACTGTGATCAATTAGCTACTACCAAAGGGGCTAGATGGGCCTCCTCTTGCTTGTCACCTTTTTAAGTTCTTGCTTCCTGTGCATATATAATAAATCACTATAATTATACTATCAATCAATTCTTGATATTTTAGTTTTTTGCATTGTTGAGAAATAACAATAATTGCTGTGCATCCTACAAATATGCTCTTAAGATTATGCCTTGCTCTTTCACAATCAACATTGCTACCGGTATCAAACAATTATTGAAGTCTGAACCAGAAAAACTAATTATTCTGGAGACTTTTTGATCTTTTTTCCCCCCTTGGGAGTCACAGAGTTCAACCAAAGCATTTAGCATTATTAAACCAACAATGTGTCTCACTCCTCAAACTTGATGAACACTTGTGTGTCATGATGTGAGCTGCCCCCAGACTTTTGACCACACAAAATTAAGTTATGAACACACAGGGTAATATCATTTTAGAGGGTTTTATCCCCTGTTCTCCTGTGACCTCTGTACTCTTCTGTGAGACAGGATCAAGATTTTCAAATGTGATGATGTACATTTCCATTCATGTTGGCAAGGCTGTCACAATTGATTCAGGTCTGCCATGAGTTCGAAGTCAAGTGGAAAAACTAATCCCCTACTGCTGGAGCTCTTGGTGGGAAGAAAGTCTATATACTTGGTGGTCCCTTAACTCTTGGTGGTGTACAAAATACCAAAGGAGAACAGACCAGATTAATGAACTGCTTTGATTAGTAGAGATCATGTCCAAGCCTGGATGACATTAATCTTTCTTTGCAGGGGCTGTATACCTTTCCCGGTATTTTACTTAAGAAACAAATCTTTGTACCTTATGCTTTAGTGTTTACATCTTTTTTCACAAATGTTGTGGACGCTATGGTCCAGAAACTCAGTGCAAAAAAACATATACTGTTTAATTGTGAAGTTGCTAAGAATGTAAAAACTATCCTTTCAAAATCTGAATTTGATATTCTGTATAGGCACTAAGATTACAGTATCCATATTAAGATTTCTGATTTACAATTTCGACACCACGATGACCAGTTTTGGTCCGCGTTGCTGTGAAAGAGCAACCAAATATACTGTAACTTTCTACTTAAGCAAAGGAACCTTTTTAGCCTTGAACAGAGGAGACTAAAATGACACTTAATTTAAGTATGTACAATCACCAAATGAATTGACAGAGTCAACCTACTGGACGTCTTCTGGATAAGCATGGAAACAGACCAGAGAACACAAACAGAACCTAAGTGGAAGTCTAATCAACACTGAGGACAGGAGGCACTTCTTTATACAATGGTGTGCTGGAGTCTGAAATAAGCAGCCATTTGCCAAATTCTTTCAAGAAACATTTGGATGAGATTTGATCAAATCCTGATTAAATGGAAAAGAGACTGACTTGGACTAAAGAGCTTCCTTGGGTAACCCTAATATTTTTCCTTATCCTCCTGAGGTAGGGAGTTAGAAGTAATTGCATTTTACAGTATTTACCGTATCAGGTTAGTAGATACTGTAAATGTAAGTCCAAGTTTGAGTCTAAACCCAATTAAATTTTATAGCAGACCCAGAGTGAATTGGCAGAAATTTGCAAGGATGTCTAGTCATTAGTGAATCTAAGGGTTCACATACAGTACTTACTCACATGAGGATATTTACTGTTGGTTACATCTTTTATCTTTGTGCTTTAGACTTTCAGGTTATGCTTTCATGAAAGTTAATTATGTTTGCTGTAGGTCCAAAATATATGAAATTAGGGGGTTTACACACATTTTTGACACTGTACTGTACTATATATACTACACTACTGCACAATATGTATTCACACATTGCAAAATAAATGCAGCACAATACTTCCAAACAAAACAACTTGAAGAAATTAGTTCAGCCATTCAATGCGATTACAAGAAGGTACAGTACAGATTGTCGAGTTAAGGCAGGAACACCAAGAAGGAACAAAAAAATCCTCACCTGTCGATATCCAATCATAATCATCCGAACAAGAACCACATTGATGTTTGTTCCCAGTGACTCATCATGGTAAATCTCATCCACCTGGAAGAAATTATCAGGGATACATTGTCAACCACTTACATTAAATGGAATAATGGTTTTCTGCTGTGGAAAAAATGAATTGCGACACCACAGAAAAGAGCCTTCACACAATACATAAGGCCATGACTCAAAAGATGCAGTTACATTCTGTACACGTCTGCTTCAGAAACCTTTTTTACAGTGAGTAGAATAGATACGGAAGACCAGCGTTGGAGCAGAGATGTGATACTGTGCTGGTCTGAATGTCCTGTCCTTGCCATTGAACATTTATGTTCTTTCAAATTATAGGAGTTAGAATAAAAATTAACAGGACAGTCACTTGTGCATCTGTAGAAGTATGGGGCCTGCTAGTAACCTCAAAAATGCATTTAGTGAGTACAGTACTAAAAGCCAACAAATATGGCAAAATAAATTCAGATAAAAACACACCATCATGATGTATGCACAGTCTGTGATATAAACTGTTCACCTACTGCAGGTCTTTAAGCAAATGCAAAAAAACATTAAAAATGTATTTTCCCTCTCTTGGTAAAAATTAATCTATGTCATCAATGTCACTTTCAAATCTTACAGTACATTCAATGTGTCTGTTTCTTAGTCTGGTTTCCCAGCAATAATTACAAATGACAAATGTTATTTACATAACGCATACATAAAGGAAAACACCGGAGAATGGCACATGGAAGAGTAAATGCATTTTGTACACACAAAAATGTGGCATTTCTCTAAATTATCACAAAGAATGCATGTTAGACTTAGAAAAACATACATGGGTTTCCTAAATGATATTGAGATTGAAGTGACAAATGTAGATAACCCTGGCAACAGATGAGAATTACGGGCTGAAACTAAAAATATTGCATAAAAGAAATTGCATCCCTGTTTCCATCTAAAAAAAACAATAATCCACTTATTCCATAGTTTGTAGATTGTCAGACTGATAAATAGTCAATTTCAAATTAAATATAGCTTAGGCTCGGGTTATATTAAGGAATACTGCAATGCTCTGCATATACTGTACAGTACAGTAGTTGTTAACACTGTAAACAAACACACTCTTTTTGTTCACAGTATTGCTCACATGTATTAATTACAGTTAAACACATATATGGACAGAAACCTCCATTTTCAGAGTTGCTGGGCACGAACTTAGTTTTTTAGTTTATTTGGCTTTTGACATGGTTGACAAAAGACATTTCAATCACAGTATAAACAATGTCTGGCTGTTCCTCCACAGCTGCCTCAGGCTATGCACTGCAAGGAACAGGAGAAGGAAAAAGATTCATATTTAGGGCTGAATGTTTTACTTTGGAAATTAACTGAATAAGCAATGTTTTACTCTTATAATAAGATCTAAAAATTAAGTAACATAATTTTAAGTTAGAGCTTTGAGTTAAATATGATTACAAGGACACCAGACTCAAAATCAGAATTTGTGATAAGGAGTAATTTGTTTTTAAATTAAACCCTACATCAATTTATTCAGCTGATTGCAGAAACATTGCATTTTAACAAAGTTTGCATTTTTATGAATTTAAAAAGAGGCAGACTTTTACAACTTAATACCATTTGCAAAACTTGCAAGTCTGATTAATACAAATTTAGTTAGTTACATTATTGCCATTCATTTACTCTGAAACATGCCCCCTAGGATAGCCAAGTTCCAAGTTATCAATACTCAGGCACATGGTAATTATGGCTCCTGTTATGATGTAATAAAAGTGAAAAGAACAAATTCATGTGTATTTTTTTAATCTAAAATGTGTGAAAAAGTTTTAAGTTCAAGAAAAAAATAAATAAATCTTATGCCATGTAGCCTTTACTGACTGTAGCACAAAACAAAAACTTTTCAGGAACATTAGCAAACAGATTAATTTATTAAAATAATTGTTGTTATTGGTTGTTTTTAAAATAAAGGATCTCTTACTTTGTGTATTGTGGTTTTCTATTTCATCTTACCTATGTAGTGCCACCACATAACACCTATTTCTCTACAGTACTGTATCCAGAAAATCTCTTTTCCAAAACATATCTTATGCCAAGCCTACTTCAGGCAAACCTTATTTCGTGCTGGAACGAGAAATTGAGATATTGGGATTCGTAAAGTCTTTTTTAGAAAGCCAAAATAGTTGTGGAGCAGACATAGGCATTCAATATTCCTAGTATAGACTAAAATACGCTCTATTGATGCTCAGGACTTTTTCGGCCACAAAGAAGCTATTCAAAATAAACTTTACTGCTTCCTGTAATTCAAAGAACAATTCTGTGAGCTGTCCTGTCAAGACACTGGCAAGGTATCAGCCCCAGAGAGTGTCCAATTATTATGCAATGTCTGACAAATCTGACCCAGAAATGCCTTGAGTGCTTTCTGGCAGCTCAATTCGAGGGAGGAATGCAGAAGCATAATTAGAAACAAACCTGGAATTCAAATAAAAAATAATTGAAGTTTCCGTTTGCACATGTTCTATCACTATTAAATAATCCTTTACTTGTCTACACAGCTCAAGAAACCTATTCCATCAAGCAACTGCTACAGTTTATTCATACATTTGATGAACTGTAACTAAAAGGCGATTTAGCCTGAAAATTAAAGTGCACATTCAGCATTTTCTGTTAGGACTTTTTGATATTTACTCAAATATATTCACAGCCCATCAATCTCTATACTGCAAACCCTCTTGTGGCCCAGTTAACCTCCAGGAGCTGATTCCTGTAGCCCTTTAATAGATCCTCAAACTTCTCGTGAGGAATATTTCACAACCTTTCCAGGATCTCCTGCCTGTGCAGCCTGTGCAGCCTGTGCATGTGATCTGCTCTCTCCAGCTCATACAAGAAACATTCTACTAGAGGTGGCCGAGCAAGAAGGCTGATTGGTGACCAACTGACACCACTGCCAATCTTCCCAAAATCCAATGAACCTACCATTATGTCGTTGGACTGCGGGAGGAAACCAAACCACCCCAGAGGAAACCCAAGTGAACAAGAGGAGAACATACAAACTTCACTCAGTACTCCAGGTCTGGGATTGAACCCAGGTCCCCAGCGCTACAATGCAGCAATGTTTACCATTTGTAGCAGCTATCAGTCTGACATAAATGAGTTTTTGAAGATTCCCAATTGTTGCCCTTGAGTGTGAGTTGTATTACCACACTACTTTTTTGACCACAGATTTGGGTAAAATGTTCCAAACGTCCATTTTATAGTGGATCAGTAATCATTCATCTTTGACATTTTGATAATGGACGCCATTCCACAAAGCAATTTAGAAGCAATTATAAACTTAATTGTAGCCATCAGTAGAGTCAATAATGGCCAATAACCTGCATCCTCTTTGGACAATTCCCTGACACCTGAAGGAAAAGAAGATTTTGAATGTCAAAGCCATTTCTTTCCCATAAATAATGTTTTATAGAATATTTACAGTATCCACATGACATTTGACATAATTAAAAGATATATAATATACATAATACCCCCAAAATGTATTTGTGTTATATAGTTTAAGGGTGCACATATATATCTATTGATGAAATATAAGAGCTATGATAACAATATAAATTCTATACTATCAAAGACTTTGAAAATCATATCCATTTGTATGAGTTCATCTAAACAATACCAAATCAAATTTATCACATGATTGATTTTATTATTTGGCATTCTGCACATCCATGATTCGGATCCTCTGAAGCCAGTCACGATTATGTGAATATTACAAAGAATAAATGTGAAACATAACCGTCCAGTGCACAAAAAGACCTACCCAACATGTATGCAAGGGATTCATACACCTTTAAGACAGGAAAATGTTTCTTTTCCTATTTCATTTTATATTTATAGTTACAGTACCTACCAGTGTGCAACACTGTTTTGTCTTCTATTTATGAATTGTCACCTAAGCAAGTCTTTGCCCAGTCCTTTGATTTTCCACTTCTACAGTCTTTGAACTAGCAGTCTACAAGTCTTATTAAGCATGAAATTACTAAAAGTAGCAATAAAGAATACAAAGCCTGGTGGCATTTTACTTATATCGCCCTTTTTTCTGGATTCAATCATATCTGTTTTCTAGCCATTACCCAGCTATCTACCCACATTCATGCATTAGCTTGTATGCCTACAGCTTTCGGTTTCAAAATGAACCTTTTATATGGAACTTTATCATTCACCTGAAAATCTAAATATCTTACGTTATGTTTGTATCCATCACGGTTCCTTGTTCACAGAACTGTAACACATTATTTCAGTTATGTCTACCTTCTCTAAGTCCATGCTGACTATCCAATTCAATCCAATCCTACTTTCATACAGTTATTCCTCTAGTTTAGTTTCTAATCATTGCGTCCCAAACTTTACATACTGTACTGTATATAACAGGAATATGACTTACTGGTCTACAATTACTTAGTTCAACTGTCAACCTCTGTTGCTGAGCAGAGTGGTCTTTCATATGTGTGTCTGTGCCTATTGACAAGCCTGCTGAAGGGGAAATTCATCTTCATTAGATGTGAGGTGTAGCATCCCAGATACCCAAACAGAAGGCTATGACATTAAATCCCCAGCATAGACAGAATTTAAATCAAAGCCTTACAAGGCAAAGTAGAAATGGGTCTTTAAAATGCTACCTTCTGAATAGATTGTCTACATGTTTAGTATAACTCAACTCCTGTGTCCTGGTATTTACAAATCACTGAAGTCAATCCTCCAGTCCTGTTTTAGACCTTCTAAGGAATGCTTCATCCTGAGGCTGGTGCTTGTGCTAACAACACATACCCCTAGCAACACAACACAAAGCCAGTGGATAAACATTTATAAACATACAGGAATATCTACTGAAAATAATGTGCTGATGTACTAGATTTGTTTGCTATATATTATACAAATGCACACACAATTCTTGAGCAGTTCCAGGACATTTCCTGTAATGGTTTACAAAAACAGCAAGTATCTTCCTTGAAACAGCTGTGTATAAACTCTGGGACAAAAAAGTCAGTCCTTTTAAA